CCCCAGTCACTTGAAAGCTAGACTCCTCCCCCCACCAAACCCCAGTGACAGTGATTCAGAGAGGCTTCTGGGAAAGCCCTGCCCCCCTCAGTGCCCCAGCCGTCCAATGGGAATAAAACAGCCCTGCCCTGCCTCTCCGAGGATTCAGAGCAGACTGGGGTCTGGAGTTCTTAACCTTTTTTTCTGAGCCCCCAAAAGAGGCTATAAACCACCACAGCCCAGCTGTGCCACAGTAGATGAGTTGTGTTACACAGCGACACACACACCTGTAATGTACAAAAGAAAAGGGTAACAGATACAGAATAAACAGCTTGGTTTGGGTTTACTTAACGCTGTGAAACTTTTTGCTGATTGTCAATTCTGTCTCAATACGGGGTATCTCGACAGGCACACAACACGTCAGGCTGAGTGTTTGTCCTGGCCGACCTGCACAGCCCCAACCCACCTTCCCTGCTGCAGCACAGCTGTGGCTTTCAATGCTGGCCCTGCTTGCTAGTTTATTTTGGCAGACCCCTCCAAAACCTGCTCGTGGCCCATCAAGGGGCTCTGCTCAAGAGCAGCAGCCTTAGAAACTGTGAGGTGCTCAGCTATTACAGTAATAGGGCCCAGGTAAGCACCGAGGGTGGATCTCTTTCATTGTTGTTTGCAGTATGGCTGTTGCCCTGTTGGGCCCAGCCTCTGACGAGGTGGGATATCTACAACTGGACTAACGTCTGTAGGGAAGAGCTCTATGCAGCTTGGCTCTTTCATCAACAGCTTGTCCAATAAAAGCTATTCCCTCACCCCCCTTGGCTCCAGTTTTGAGACTGATCAGTTAACCATTGGCCATGCCTGCTACCAGGACTGGTTGCTGCCCTTCTCTGTACCCTGTCTGCACAGCACGTATGTTTAGAAACACTACAGAGTAGATTTTGAGAGGGGTTGGGCACCGTCCATGCTGACACGCAAATAGGTGTTTAGCCCTTAGCCTCTCAACGTTGGTAGAAGGCAGCCTGCTCCCGCTGCCAGCAAGACTCACTGACTTCAGTGGGAGCTGTCTGGAGCCCAGAGCTCAGTCAGTCCTCAGAGTCAATACTCAGCCACAGATCGCTCAGCAGGGTTTACTGATGTGGAATTTTCCTGTGACAAGACATTACAAGGCAAAACAACGTCAGTTATTTAGAATCTACTAGTTTGTCTCTCTTCCTGGTAAATTAATTTCCTGTTGCTGAATAAAATATTCATCTCCGTGAGCAGCCACATCTCCCTGTAACTTTGCGTGTGGCATACGAGCTGACTAAACAGACTTTGGCAGGTAAAGCCAGCCACCTCCTAGCAGAGTTTAACTTTGATCTGAGTCAGTCACATAGTAGCAAACAGCGAGCTAACCGTCGATAGCCTGTTAGTTCCTCCTTGAGCAGTCAGGAGCATGACAGATGGTCACTGACCTACTTTTCAGTTCTTCAGCTCTAGGTGGCACTTGCCCAAACCTCTGCTTAGAGAAATTTGGTTTGGTTTTGGGTGAAATCTTCATCCCAATAGTGCCATCTACTGGCTGTCAGATTTTTCTGATGAGCGAACCAGACACACGATACAGGAATTTAAAAGGCTCTGGCTCTTTCAGGAGACAGTAGCAGGCTGGGGAGCAGGTATGGCTCACCGCTCAGAGAGGGGCCTCTGATGAACCCCCATCCCATGGGGAGAAAGCGTGGGGCCTCATGACCTGATAGAACTTCTCTTGGATTGTTCATTTGTAAGGGGATGGGATCTAAGGCTGATCTGGTTACTGGAGCTAACTTCCATACAGGAGCGGTTCTACATACGCTGAGTACAAACTGATGCCACTTTTCCTTATTTACTAGGCCCTGGTCTACACTAGGGCTTTACAGCCACTCCCCAAGTTACGACCACCTCCACTGACGACCATCGTGGTTGTAAATGCGGATCCGAGTTACGAACGGTGGATCCACGCTTACAAACAGCGCGATCGCCATGTAACTCTATGGGATCTGAGTTATGAACACTTCGAGTTATGGACCAAGTGTTGGTTCGTAACTTGTTCGTACCTCGGGGAGCGGCTGTATTTCAAAATAGGTCAAATGAATAAGTGGAGCATCCACACTCCCAAGCTCGCTATTCCAAAATAATTCCAAAATAGTTATTTCAAAATAGTGCTGGTGTGGACACTCCACTGCTGCAATTTTGAAATAACTACTCTCAAAATAATTTGAACTAATTACTCCCCAGGGCTTGCTGGGGCTCTAAGTCCGAGATAGCGCGGCAACATTAGCAGAGCCTGCCTTGGACTAGCTTTGATGCTTCCGCATAGTGAGGATGCGCTAGTTCAAATTTATTAAATAAGGAGTTAAGTTAGTAATTTCAGAATCGTTTCCTAGTGTAGACATGGCCTAGTGGTGTGAGGGAAAGGCTCAGTGCAGTGCACCATCATTCCCAGCAAAGAAAGCCTTGAATTCTCCACCAGTCCTTTTACCACAGCAACAAAACGACAGTCCAAGACTAGCACTGGGCACCACTTTCACCATCCCTAGCCCCTCCCAATGGCCAGGACACGGCCAGAGAGAGACTGGGGCGCAATACATGGGATCCAGGGCCAGAGAGGGGAGTGCTGGGACCCAGGTCGGATTGTGTCTCCAGGAAGAGAGGGCTTAGAGCTTTCGGTTATGTTTGTAGAGGGTGCATACACAAGGACAGAACTGTACATGTGCTTGTGTGTAATTCCCCATGCCCGTACAGAGTGTCTACATTATACTGTGCTGGATGTGGGTATAACACTGTAGCCACATAACAGTGCAACCGTGGACACAGGTAAGTGACAGTAGTGCTACCTTTCCAGGGGCAGTCTCCCTGGGTTGTGTGTGGACATTGGGACACACTAGAAACAGCTGTGATGTGGTGGTATTTGCAGATGGCAGTTCCTGGTTGCACCGCCCCACACTGTTTGACTTCTTCTGGCTCTGTCTAACTCCCGCGCACCTTCCCTGCCAGCAGCTCCCTTCCTCATTCACTCTGTGGCAACGTCAGGTGCCACTGTTTGCTGGGGCAATTCAGCAGAGTGGTGCAGAGCTGTGAAGTGGTGAGGGGCAGGAGGAAGCCCATTGTACAAACAGCACCGCCGCCTATGTGGATTTGTCCTGATCCACCTCAGAAGGGAAGAGGGTAAGTGGCACAAGGTAGCTCTGTTAGAAGAGACAACAGGACTATGAAGTTCCCTGCGTTCTAGGCCTGTGTCATACTAGGCTGCGCTGCCTCCCTGCTGGGTAGGGTTAGGAGGCCTCGGCCATTGACAAAGTATCAGTTTAAGAGGGAACTTGAGCTCCTGGTCTCCTGGCCTATAGCACTGAGCACCCTACATGGTGCCAGGCCATTATTAGGGAAGCTTGCTCGTGCTGTCTCTGGAGACTGTGCAGTGCTGGCCTGCTGTCGGAGATTACCAGATTTGAATTCCTTTGTAATCATCAGGTTTCGGAGGTTGTTCCTGGTGCCAGCCACTAGATTGCTGAGGGGTCCTGTCAACTTCAGCGCCAGAGATGCTGACCTTGCTCTGAGACTTAAGGGTGGCTGCTTGGAGCAGTGACAAGTGGCAAACGAGCAAAGCCAAAGAGAGAGAGAGGGTCTGGGGTAGCATCTTGAATGCTTGTGGTGCACTGCCGACTCACAACTGTGCATGTGTCTAGACTACATGCCTCCTTCGACGGAGGCATGTAGATTAGCCAGATCGGAAAAGGGAAATGAAGCCGCGATTAAAATAATCGCGGCTTCATTTAAATTTAAATGGCTGGGGCCCGCCCCAGCGCCAGAGATGCTGACCTTGCTCTGAGACTTAAGGGTGGCTGCTTGGAGCAGTGACAAGTGGCAAACGAGCAAAGCCAAAGAGAGAGAGAGGGTCTGGGGTAGCATCTTGAATGCTTGTGGTGCACTGCCGACTCACAACTGTGCGTTACCCTGAGAACAGTGGGAACAAGCAGAAGTAACATCGATTAACATCAGTAACCATGACCAGGTCTGACTAGCCACATCCTCACACGTTTGCGCACACTTCTGAAACCACTCCACATGGGGTTTTTTTGGGGGAGTTGGCTCATTTTGTCAGGGCAACCAGCCATGTCTTCAGTTCCCCCTCCCCCCAGAGTTCCCAGCATGGTCCCACCAGCATGATCGAGGAGATTCAAGTAGCTGACAAAATAGTACACACTGAGTATAGGGCTGGGCTGCAAGCGACAATGACCACACCGGGGATGGAGAACAGTGTTAGGTTTGCCAGTCCTGAGAGGTGAGCGACAACACACAATTCTCCAGGTTTTTAAACGCTTTTGCAAAATGTGTAGATTTGAGCAGTATCCCGATTACTCTGAAACACTGGCAGGATTGTGAAAAAATTAGGGAAGGCTGGCACGTCTGCAGCCTGACCCCATTAAAACCCTAGTGTTGCGGGAACCCTTTGATCAAACTTCCTCCCGTATGCAGCACACTCTACTCTGGGACCTGAATTGGCATACCAGTTTCAGCTTTTAGAGCAGACGCAAACTTCAGCTTTAAATAGGTCACATGGCAACTACAGTTAATGATTTTTCCATCTTTAGTTTTTCAGTGATTGCTAGAAACATACCATGAACTTGCAACTACAGGTCGTCCCCGACTTACGAACGAGTCACATTCCAAACACTTGGTTATAACTCGATCTCTCTCTGGGGGTGGGTGCAGGGTGTCTAGCCAGGAGCAAGCTGGGGGTGTGGGGTCTCAGTGGAGGGAGTGTGTGAGGGGGCTGAGGGGTGACTGTACGGCTCCTACCGCCCTGGAGCACCGGGTATGGGGGAGGCTTCACGGCTCCTGCCTCCCAGGAGCTGTGGGCGAGGAGTCTGGGGTGCAGGGGGAAGACCTTTCAGCTTCCCCTCCCCAAGCACTGGGGAGGGAGGAGGCTGGCGGCTGAGGGACGCAGAGTGACATGATGAAATATTATCTCTCTACATATATAAACAAAAATTTCCTGTGGGGCGACAGAGTGACTTCGAGGCATTTTACTATTTTTTCAAAATACGAATAAATCACAATTTCTCTCATCCTTAATATAAAAAGATAGATTTTGCCATAAGCTTAGGTTAGTTGAAAATAAACTTTTACAAAACCAGTCATGTTTCAGCAGACAAAATAAAAAATAAAATTAAACAAGTAATAAGACTGAAATGCTGCTGCTGTGGTGTTTGCAGCCCAAATGCTGCCAGCAGTGAGAACCAGGAAGTGAAACTTCAGGATGTGAAGAGGTGGGTAACTGATTAATCATGTACTCGATACAATTTGCATTGAGCACATAAATAGCTGAGAAGCTGCAGCTCTGCAGTTCAAGCGTAGGAGGAGCTGGGCGTGCAGGCAGCCTGGCTCCTACAACATTTAAACGGCAGAGCCGCAGCGGTGGCCAGTCCGTGACGGACTGCTGCGGCTCTGCTTTTTTAAATATAGTTAGGGCCTCCAGGCTCTTACTACGTCTCAATGGCAGAGCTGCAGCGGGGAACTATATTTAAAAAGCAGAGCTGCAGTGGTCCACGACGTGGCAGCTCTTACTACATTTAAAAAGCAGACTGACGCGCGCCGGGACTGTCCCCCACTGCGGCTCTGCCTCCCCTTCCCCATGTACCACGGGGACAGTGGGTGACTTAAGCCAGCTCCCCCCAGCACTGCCTCCTGCTCCCCTCCCCCTCTGATAACATGTCCTGACTGTCACCACGAGCCTTTTCCCCTTTTAATCATCTCAGGTGTGTTTCTCGAAGGCAAAACAATGAATTTTCCTGGCTGCCTGCACAGGACGGACACTCCACTAGCCATTAAACTACGTGAAGATGTTTGTTTCTTTTACCAACTCACTTTTGGTAGTCGTCCAGCCTTCACCTACATTGCATTTTATTTAACCTCTTTAGCATGACAGTGCATTCGCCACCTGGAGCAGCCAGTGCACACTTACAGGAGGCAGTATCTGGGGAAAGGAGTAACTAATTCCTAGCCCACTATCCGATAAAGTGGGAGCACGGCTGTTTTCAGACCTGACAGATTTTTGGCTACTATGAAACACAAACAATGAGGACAGAGCTACCAGTCACTAACAAGGTCTGATGCTCTTCTCCATTTGATTGCTAAGTAATTTAGCAGATTCTCTCCCCAGTTTGGGTACACAAATCAAACTAATCCCACAGCTCTTGCAGGATTTCAAGAAAGGAGTTGATAGTCCTTTTAAACTCTTCAACAGAAAAACCTGTATATTTAAAAATAGGTTACTTTTTTCTAGAGCAGTTGAATTGCTATTCATGTCCACAGTTAGTTCACATTGAGTCTCACTTTTATGTTCATGGCGGCCAACTCAGCCACAAAATACCTGAAGACATAAGGCACAGCCACAGTGTCAATTGTGTCACTCTGATTGCACAGGGTACAGTAGTATTTCCTGTTGCGCATGGCGGACCAGGAAGGAGGAGGTTTCTCCAACAAAGGAGAAAGCAAACTACCACACTTGACACAGACGTGGGCCACCGAACGATCGGAGCAGTTGAAGAGACGGTCATGCAGCAAGAACGAAGTTCCGTGAGCCAACAAGGCGTCGCGTTCCATCTCCCCGAAGCGAATCCCACCCTGGACGTTCCTCCCACCGATGGGCTGGTTGGTGACTTTATCTCTGGCTCCTGTCGTCCTCACTTGGAACTTGTCTGAGACCATGTGGCGCAGGCGCTGATAGTATACAACTCCAATGAAAATGTCTGCCTCCAGTTCCACCCCACTGATTCCACTGTACATCCGCTCCGTTCCATAGTAGTTATACCCAGCGGCCTTCAGCATCTTGCCGAAGTATTCTAAGGCAGAGCTCTCCTCAGAAAAGGTGAAGGGGGTGGCATCATGACAGAGGCCATGCAATGCTGCAGACTTCCCTGCCATACTCTCAATCAGCATTCCGATGGTCATTCGGGAAGGAAAGCCGTGCGGATTGAAGAGAATATCTGGAACCATTCCACTCTCTGTAAATGGCATATCCTCCACAGGCCAGAGTCTGCTCAAAATGCCCTTCTGTCCATGTCGGCTGGCAAATTTGTCTCCAATAGTTGGATTGCGAGGGATTCTCATGGTGATGCACACACTTTTAAACTTCCCATTTCCACTGTCATTGCTGCACACTTTGATATTATCAACAATGCAACTTTCCTTACTCCTGGGAAGAGGAAAATAAAGAAAGTCCATGAAAGTTTCAAAGTTGTTAACTCAGCATTTCTGTGCCAGGAATTTCTGTCTGGAAAGAGAGATAATTTCAAACTGTCTTTAGAAAGAAACTCTAAGTATTACAACCAAGCTATGTGAAATAAGATGGTTGTCTTGTGAGACTCAACACTGCCTCAAAGAAGAAGCCATTTTGTACGCATGGAGATCAAAACTACATTAGTGTTGGTTTGAGAAAACATTACACATGAAAAACAGCTTCCTCAAAGGCTGCTTGACTCATTCGGATACAGGAATGAAAACTAAAATTTTGAAAAGATTTTTGATTTATGCTCCATGAATGAAGTAGAATAAGAAGCAATTAAAGCGGATTCATCTTTGTACTGTGGGAATTGATGGTCAAGCTAAGTTTCAATGCCTGGTAAAATTCCTTTACATGGCAACTGTGACCTACAAATAAGAAAAAGAGGAATTTTGCCCCTTTTTTAGTTTTACATCATGAAGCATGACGACAAACTGAAAGTTGGTATAAAAAAGACTTTTCTTTTTGCCCTTTCTGCCCCTTCCCATTAGAAATTCACGTCTAGTGTCGACTGTAGACTCAGAGGACTAGCGAATTAGTGATACGGTGACATCACATGTGCCTATGGAGCAATCTAATTGATCTGAAAGGTGTAGGCATTTTTAGTCGGAATATTCAAAAATGTTTTATGTCAGTGACTAATATTTTGTCCCCTCAAGTTTAAGTGTTAAATCTTACAAATACCTTGGGAATCCTCCAGGAAAAAAATGGGAGGATAAACCTATAAGATTCCTGCTATTTCTAACGTAGAATAAAAGCAGCAGAACCACCTCATTCCTCCCAAAACGACCATCTTTTACCAGTGGTTCTCAAACCTTTGTACTGGTGACCCTTTTCACACAGCCAGGCTATGTGTGAGAACCCTTATAAATATTAAAACAATATTTTTAACATACTATTATAAATGTGGAGGTGAAGTGGGGGTTGAAGCAGAGGTTGACAGCTCTCAACCCCCCCTTGTAATAACCTCTGGACCCCCCATTTAAAACCCTGTTTTAGGCCTTTCTTTCTAAGCCCAATTTTTAAAATACCCTTTTCACATCACCTTTAATATTCTGAGCCTGAAGCTCGGCAGATGGAGGCGGCCACCCCTCACCCACAAAACCAAAGATCACCGATTGGGTACGTCTAGACTACAGGCTTTTGTCGACAGATACTGTCGACAAAACTTCTGTCGACAAAGAGCGTCTACACTACATTGAGTTCTGTCGACAAAGCAAGCTGCTTTGTCGACATGGTAGTGTAGACGCAAAGGACAGTTTACATGCAATAACACCTTCTGTCGACAGAAACTCTGTCGACAGAAGGCGTTATGCCTCGTAAAATGAGGTTTACCAGCGTCGACAATACTGCTGAGTTCTTTCGACGTTATGTCGACAGAACTCAGCGGTAGTGTAGACGCAGGTATAGTTTTGTCGACAAAACTCTGTAGTCTAGACACACCCATTGATCCTACCTGGAGAGGAGGGTGCTTGTCTAGCTATTGCACTGACTGAGAAGGGTTCTGTTCCTAGATCAGCCACAGACCCTGGGCCTTTGTTTCTCTGGCAGGAAGACAGGGCACCAGGTACCTCCCAGCAATGCAACCAATTTGAATTTGTTTATAAAATGATACAATTTTCAAACTGCCTGAGCGATCCAGCAGCCTAGTTCCCACTTTCAGAAGGGACTTACGTCCTACACCCCTCTCCCAGTGAAGTCATCAGAAAGTAGGTGCAGCAGTTGCTTACGCACCTGTGAAAATCTTACCCAGAATGCTTTCTGAAGTTCTGGTGGAAGAAGTCGGAGTGTGGAAGCAGCGTAGTGCTACACACGAGGGATGTTAAATATCGGTTAACGGAATCGTCGAGTAACCTCATGAATTCTTATCGGCATGAGTCCAGCCCCACTCCCAAGGAGCCCCTGCCACTCCACACCAGCGCGGGGTGCCAGGGGAGCTGGTTCGCGAGGGGAGCCAGTTTAAAAACCAGCTCCTCTTGTGGAATGGCTGCCTGTTGCCCCCGCTGCTGCCTTGGATGCAGGGGTGGCAG